TCGGTAGGGATACGTTGGCCAAAAGCCAAATATATGACAAACATGTAAATTGTCTTCGGAACATGTTTGGGTATGCGCGGACATGTCCGACAGGCTCGGCCTTTCGAGAATCACTGCCACAGGCTATGCGCGGCCATCCTGCTTCTGATTGAGGAGGATCAAATAATGCATATCTGAGAAACATAAGCTTTTGGGATATACTGGGGCCAACCCGAGAACATCCGGGGTACCAATAGCGCTAGGTCCTCGCTTCGCGTGGAGCGTGGATAATCCCCCCGCATAAACAGAATAATGAGAATGAGAATCACCACGTGAAGATTAAAAAAGCATTGCTAAGCTTCACGCACATCGGCGTGTCCCGTCTGGCAAGGACCCAGAAGCTTGATTGAAAGGCAGAGAGGCGTGGCATGCTGCCAATCAGGGGTGTTGTGTGTAGACAAAGTTCAGCCATGTAGACGGCCCCTGTATAATGATAAGATCAAACCAGTGTGATTGGTAAAAGGATGATCAGAGAAGGTTCACTGGCCCAAGGTGGAGTGAAGAGTAGTGTCACTATCAGAGGTATCGGGAGTCGGAGGTTGTTCTTATCTCCAGGGTTGAGTCCCGAGACACTCCACTTTCACCGTTCACACAACTCCGTCGGCCAATGACAACGGCAACTGTCCCGAGACGGAAGCGAAGGCCAGAATTCTCGGCGTCCTGATAAGCTAGGGTTGGCAGGGCTGTCCTGATTGGTCCACCTAATCCCTTGATGGGCCCGTCTCTGAGTTTTATGGATCTTTTCGAGGAACACGCGACAGGAATATCCTTGCCACAGTGCGAGAGATCGTGGTGGGGCCGGACGCGCAAAGAATTCTCGCGACACAATATATATTAACAGCGCCTCCCGTTCGGTGGAGCAAAAAAAAAAGAAAGAGAGGATGTGTCACTGATTCGATATTCAATCCCTTCATCCTGAACTCCCTGGGTCTCGCTGAGACTACTCAGCTCTTCGATTACTCCCATTTATATACTCTCCCCTCCATCCAATTCTTCGCCTTACGTTAATGAGGATTCGACCTGAAAACATGGCCTCCAAAATGTTCCCCTCACATGAGGACCTGGAAAAGGCGCCCCAGGTGAACAATGCCGCCGAACAAAATAGCAACAAGCTCTTCGACAACTCCAGCGATGGCGCCGTGCCCGGCGAGAGCTTCGAATATGGCAATTCGCTTTACGCCAAGATCCAACGCTTAGCCGGCAAGCTCAACATCGAGCAGCGAGGTGTCGAGCGAGTTCCGGAGCATGAGCGGACTGATACGTCCTATCTTAATATTGGTAGCATGGTGTGTTCCTGCAATTACCTGGCATGATCGCCGTGGCCTGAAGGCCTTTTCCACTGACCAAACCTAGTGGTTGGCCGCAAACATGGTCGTCAGCTCCTTCGCCATCGGCGTTCTTGGTAAATCTGCATTCGATCTGGGCTTCGTTGATGCCATCTTGGTCTGTCTCTTTTTCAACCTCCTCGGTGTTATGACCGTGTGCTACTTCTCGTGCTTTGGTCCCATGTTTGGACTGCGCCAGATGGTGCTCTCGCGATTCTGGTTTGGATGGTGGCCTGTGAAATTCAGTAAGTTGGCTCTCCATTAGGTTGTGTGCGTTAGTTTTGCTAATTCATGTCTAGTTGCCGTCCTTAACATCATCGCCTGTGTGGGTTGGTCTGCTGCCAATGCCATCGTTGGTGCCCAGCTCCTCAACGCGGTGAACAGTAAAGTCCCTGGATTCGCCGGTATCCTCATCATCACATTCTGCACACTTTTCGTCACCTTTGCTGGGTACAAGTATGTTCACATGTATGAGTACTGGAGCTGGATTCCCACCTCCATCGTGTTTATCATTGTGTTGGGCACATTCGCCCACTCCGGCGATTTCGTTAACATCCCAATGGGAGTCGGAGTTTCTGAAATGGGTGCCTGTCTATCCTTTGGATCAACTGTCTATGGCTTCGCAACTGGCTGGACCAGCTACGCTGCCGACTACACTGTCTACCAGCCAAAGACCCAGAGCCGTCGCCTGGTCTTCCTTTCTGCCTGGCTTGGTCTGATCGTCCCCCTTCTCTTCACTCAATTCCTCGGTATCGCCGTCATGTCCGCGACGGCTATGGGTGACGGAGTTCACAACAAGTACGCCGAGGGCTATGCAACCTCAGTCAACGGCGGCCTGCTCGCAGCCGTGCTGGAGCCTCTCGGCGGCTTCGGCAAGTTCTGCCTCGTCGTCCTGGCCCTGTCCATTATCGCCAATAACTGCCCCAACATCTACTCGGTCGGCTTGACCTTGCAGGTCTTGAGCCGTGCTACACAGCGCGTTCCGCGATTCATCTGGACTTTCCTCGCCTCCTGCGCTTCCCTCGCTATCGCCATCCCCGGTTACAGCCACTTCGAGACCGTTCTCGAGAACTTCATGGCCCTTATCGCCTACTGGTTGGCCATTTACTCCGGCGTTGTACTCGCCGACCACTTCGTTTTCCGACGTGGATTCGGTGGCTATTCTGCAGAGGACTACGACGATCCCAAAAAGCTGCCCATGGGAATCGCCGCAGCTATTGCGTTTGCCTTTGGCGTTGCCGGTGTTGTTGTGGGCATGAGCCAAACGTGGTGGATGGGTCCTATCGCCGCACATGCTGGTGACCCAACATATGGTGGTGATGTCGGATTTGAGTTAGGCTTTGCCTTCGCTGCTGCGGTATATTGCATCTTGCGACCGATTGAGCTTCGTTTGATAGGTCGATAAGTTTTAATTTGGGGTTTTTGCGATGTACATATTAGCTTGGGAATAGGGTCATAATTTTGTGCATATCATTATCTTTGCATAGTAGCATTACAACATATTGCATCATTTTCAACATTCAACTATCTTCAACCGTAAACATAGCTGACGGAGTTTGCAACGGAGTTTGCAAGGATTGCTACATAGACATTTGTCATCTATCTGTATGCCACTTCACCATCGGACTCCGGGGATTCAGAAAACTCGCCACTTGCTCCTCGGTACAATATCAAGCCGTTCCAGCGAACGTAAAGAATCATGATCAAGACCAGCTAGGCGGATTGTATTGGCGAGCTCGGAAACTCTTGGCTTTCATTGGCTGGGCCACATGTGGAGCCTTAAAGCATATTTCCCAATCCGGAAAGTTTTGATGTTTGATCTTTGGGTACGGAAATCGTGCACCTCCCAGTATAAAAGCAGAGCAAAACTCTTAATCTGCTTCTCATTTCAAACTACAATTCTCTATTCCAAGCCAATCCAACATACTTTCAAGCCTTAATATTGCGCGCAACATATCCAGCCCTAACTACACACCTTGACCATGCCTCTCAACTATAATCCCGAAAGAGATATCCCTGATCTCACGGGGAAGTCAATTTTCATCACAGGAGGTACTAATCCCATCTGCTTCCCACAAGTCCACAACTAACAGCCCCCCCCCCCCCAGGAACCGGCGGGCTAGGTGCAGCATCAGCAATCCACCTCGCCAAGCACAACCCATCACACATCTACCTCAGCGGCCGCAACGCCACAAGCGCAGAGAAAGTGATCAAACAAATCCACGAAACCAGCCCCAAGCTCGCAGTCACATTCATAAAATGTGACCTATCTTCCTTGGCCTCGGTCAAAAAGGCCGCAGAGGATTTCACCAGCCAACACCAAACCCTAGACATCCTAATGTGCAACGCGGGAATCATGGCGCAACCCCCAGGCCAAACAGCCGATGGCTACGAGCTCCAGTTCGGCACCAACCACCTCGGCCACGCACTGCTAATCAAAAAGTTCCTACCCCTCCTCGAGGCCTGCCCAGACCCACGCATTGTGCTCCTTACCTCGCAGGGATGGGGCATGCACCCGCACGGCGGCATCATCTTCGACAAACTCAAGACGACCCAGGATATGGGTTTTGGCGGGCCGTGGCTACGGTATGGACAGAGTAAGCTGGCGAATCTGGTGTATGCGCGCGAGCTCGCGAAGAGGTTCCCGGTTATCACGTCGGTGTCGGTGCATCCTGGTATTGTGGGGACGGGTCTTGTTAGTGGGCTTGGGCTTAAGGAGAAGTTGCTTGTTTATGCAATGAGTTGGTGGAGGATTGTGCCGCCGCATGAGGGTGCGTTTAATCAGACTTGGGCGGCTACTGTGGATAAGGCGCAGATTCGGAATGGGGGTTATTATGAGCCTGTTGGGAAGTTGGAGGATAAGAAGCTTGATGAGACGGCTAGGGATGGTGCGCTTGCGGGAAGGTTGTGGGATTGGACTGAGGAGGCTTTGAAGGATTTTTGATTTTGATTTGTTTCTAGATATCTTTTATGCTATTTTGTACACGTGAGAAGCAAATGATGATATGGCCATATAAACGTTTGGGTTTGTGTTCTTGACGTACAAAAAGAGGAATCCTTCACTATACCTCTATATACTCGCCTTTGCTTCTCGCTCTACCTCGTACGATATATATATACAAGCACGCAGCCTCCCTTGGCGTCTACCCTTCCATTACCATCACTCCTAAACGTTACCTTCTATATGACCTATACGCCAAATCCCCCAGTTCTCACTCAGTTAACTCTTACATTACCGTCACTTCTGAAATCATATCAGCCCGGTTAAATTCACATTTCATTCCCCTCACGACTTGACTCTGGTTGTCTCCTTCACACCTCATTATCACATCTCTTCCTCTTCATATCTTTATCAATCTACAGCTGTCAACCGCAACTGCAACTGCCTAGGAGCCGGCCTACAGTACCACGACAGGATCGACTTCGATGACGACGGCGATTTCGAACTTCCACCAGCTGATATCCGTCTATCAGATGCAAAGTCCTCGAGAATGGTATCAGTTACTTCATGAGGTACTGATTTCTATTGGGTTTATCCTACAAATTCTGATTACTCTATCTTCGTTAAGAAAGAGCATGGGAAGCCTCATCTCTGTGTCATGCCCCGGAGATTCTACCTCCGGGACCTTTCGGTCCATGAGCCAACAGTTGGTGGCTGCGCCAGGCTTTTGGGCCCTCATGATCGTCGTGGCTGGATGCCTTGCTGGCGCCGGCTATCTTTTTTGGAGGAGGTCAGCCTCCAAGGGCGAGGATATTGAGGATACCCCGTAAGTGGTAAACCACGATTCTCATGGAAACTATATTGGCGGATCTTTGCCTATGTATGCACAGAGGCTAATATATCGTAAAACAGCCTCAAAGACATCATTGTTAGCGAGCAGCCAGAGGAGACCGGCGAGGAGATCCATGCAGGGGATGATGTCGAAGCCCGTACACCTCCTGTGAGGGAGATGGGGAGGATTGGGTGGAGGTGGGTGGACGGGGTTGGCGGAACGAGTGCATACCGCGTTTTCCAGCCAAGCCAAAAACTGCAGTTCGCAAGCAAAAAGCAAAAAGCAACGGAGTATCAATAAGATGATCCGCTCTCGCTGGGAGATGGTACTTCTTACGGATTACGTCGTTGGCGTATTTAGGCTTCTTATGCCTAGTAAGAAGATCTGCATCCTATGGGACTACTTTGCCTGGGCAGCCACTGTCGCAAAGACCGATCCCACCTGGAAGCAGCGATATGAGAGAATCACGAGGGCCCTTGGCGACTGTTTCATCCCCCCAGTGAGGATGAAGGGAAGAAAATGATGATGTATTCATGCATCCTAGACAACTGGAGCCCGCTTGCACCGAGCGATCTTTCTTCCGGCAAAAGTTGATGTTAAGCAATGAAAAAAGTAGGACATAAGAGAGAAAACCGGGAAGCTATGTGCCAACAAGTTTGTTCTTAACTCCTCGCTTCGTCTGCCTATGACTGGCTCATACAAAATGACTACATCAATCAGGGCTACGTGGAGGTATCTCTTGCTGTTTTTCTCATTTCTTCCAAGGACTGCACGCCGATAATAATATCCCCTTCGTGTTGATTTCGGGGTCTGCGGAAGATGCTTTCAAAGTTGAGCACCAAAGGTGTACCATGGATTTGCCCATCTCGGTACGTAACTCTCTGTGTTGGTCGGAAAGAGGTATCCATGTGATTTCCGGTCTTATACGGATTTGGGGAAGGTCCTTCGGACCATACCTCCACGTCGAGTAAGAGGTCGAAATAACAGTACTTGATTGGCATTGTCTTGTCGTGTTTTCTACAGTAAAATTATTCCTTGCGAAGCTCTGACAGAGTATATGAGCTGCTAGAAAACGCTTTTCAAGCACGGCACATAATTTCGCCCCGATCAACACCAATCTTGGGGCTTGCAGCGGTAGGTGGCTATCTAGCTCCTGTCAGATTTGAAGAATCGAGATAGAAAGCATAGATAAAAACGGTGAGTCCCGTTTCAAAAGACGACATGAAGGATTTGAAGGGTCTGAAGGATTTTGAAACGGGACTTGAGATTATTTGCGAGTATATACTCCACAATGGGGTTTTTTGTGGCCATGTGGTGACTGACTAGGTCTGTATGGTAACTTTAAGATTGTCTGGAACTGACAAGTCAACGTGCATAGTAGAAGGATCATTTACTTGAAGAAATGGAAGACCGTGTCATTTTTTCGCTCTAGGCATATTGAGGGAGCGTATTCTAGCCTTGCTCGGGGCTATGCTCGGTGCTAGATAGGAAAAGTGCCACAAAATGAAGTATGGAACTTGGAACCACGCCACGTGATTTACGCCACCAGCCACAGCTGTGCCACAGTAAATTATTAAATCCACAACGGATTCGCCTTTGAAAGAAATCCAGAAATTCAGCAGCCGTAATAACACCATCACTTACACCATGTCTCCAGCTGGGAAGTGAGTATATACAGTTGCATCCTACAAAAAACACCGGCCTAACAAAACTTTCTATTTTACAGCCGCGCCGACTGGGCCGACGACGAAGATTTCGATGACCCCTCCGTGCTCCCGCCGCAAGAAGTGATCGCGAACAAGGACGGCACCAAGACCGTCATTTCCTACCGCTACAATGATGACAACAAGAAAGTGAAGGTCACCCGCCGAATTAAGACCACTATTGTCCGCGAACACGTCAACCCTCAGGTCGCCGAACGCCGCAAATGGGACAAGTTCGGTCTCGAGAAGGGCCACGCCGCCGGTCCCTCATTCGACACCACCTCCGTCGGCGAGAACATCGTCTTCCGACCCAGCGTCAACTGGAAGGCTAATGCTAAGGAGGCTGAGAAGGAGGGTCCCGAGAAGGGCAGCATGAAGGACCAGTTGAAGGACAAGAAGGTCAAGTGTCGTATTTGCAGTGGAGAGCATTTCACGGCTCGCTGTCCCTTCAAGGACACCATGGCCCCCGTCGAGGAGGGCACTTCTGCTGCTGGTGGCGCCGAGGCGGAGGACGATGCGGGTGGTCTTGGTGCTGGAAAGTCCAGCTACGTTCCCCCTCACATGCGGAAGGGCGGTGCTGGTGGCGGCGAGAAGATGGGTGGTCGCTTCGAGAAGGACGATTTGGCGACACTGAGAGTTACAAACGTATGTTCTGCCAGTGTTCTGCTATCTACGAGCTCTACGAGCTCTACGAGCACTACGAGCATCTTGCTTGTTTATCTTGGTTCGGTTCTGACTTTTTCAAATAGGTCAGCGAGTTGGCAGAGGAGAACGAGTTGCGGGATCTCTTCGAGCGTTTCGGTCGTGTCACCAGAGTTTTCCTTGCACGGGATCGGGAAACCCAGAGAGCCAAGGGCTTTGCTTTCATCAGCTATGCGGATCGTGGCGACGCAGCACTTGCTTGCGAGAAGGTGGATGGCTGTATGTCTTCAATATTCCGATTCGTGATCTTCTTTCTACAAATTCTTCGAGTGCTAACCCGTTCTTCCAGTCGGTTACCGCCACCTTATTCTCCGCGTCGAGTTCGCCAAGCGCACTACTTAAACTTCTTTCTCGGTTCTCTCTTACGACTTTTTGAATGGAACGTTTCCTTCTTCTCAGGCGGGCCTATCTTTGGGCCGAAGCTCTTTTCCTTGTACTGTAGGACCTGGTTGATAATGATGATTCCCAAAAAGACATCAAGCATGTCAGTTACTTATATTCGTCGGTCGATACAAAAGCAATGGGTTAGAGAAATTTTGAACTTCATACATGGGTTTCTTGGTTATTACAGGTCGTACCCTGATCTACGGTAGCATTGTTTCTTTACTTCCAATAATGTCCTTCTCGAAGCACTTGTTTTATAATTGCTTCACGCTACTATGGAACATCTCAATCGTCTATGGGACGACTCCGCGCTTGTATAAACGGATGATGTCCCAAAACAACATCCGTGGGCAAGTCGAATATACCCCATTACCCACCATTTCAGTTGTTCGGCGTGTGGATCAGCGTGGGCATAAACATCAGTGTTGGGTCGAAACGCAGTTTCAGCGTCCACTAGACATATTAATGTGCAAATTCCCCGGGAAAGGCTCAAACTGGCTAACAGGATAACAGCGTATACCAACCAAGGCCATTCTGCTCTTTGCAACCTCTCTCTCGCCGCTGGCTTCAGGCTTAACAAATCCCCATCTCCTAGCCACCACACCTAGTGCCCAGCTACCGGACTCGGCTGACAACAATCCTGCACGCCGTTGACGGGAATCTGTCATCTGGGAGATAAATGTCGCAGGCCTCGACTGTTCGATTGTTCGAAAGGCTCAGGGATCGCATTTCGACATCAAATTTTCTGCATCTTCGCATGACAATAGAGATGACATCGGAAGGAAATGGAGCTCGGGCAACCTGGACTTTTTCCTGCTGTGCCCTAGCTTCAGGCCAACTGCGTACTAGCTACGCGCTCGGGTGCTAGATCCCAGGGTCAATCACCAAAGTACCAAAGTACAGATCGATATTAGATCTCAGCACGTCAAACACAGACCCAGCCTCGGCGGTAAAAGCTGTCGTGTTAAATTTCCCGGTAACGGGATGGGGTTGCATAACGTAGCATCGGTGTTTCTTTTAGGAAAGAGACTTGAATCGGCGGGAAAAGCTTACCTATGGGTCCGGCTTTTCGCCGAAGGTCTCCCCCATACTAAACAAGACGGGGCTACGGAGACAGTGGAGAAGCCGAGATGTTGTTCCCTGCAGGTTTGGCCTTGGCTCTCTCGAAAACGCTCACCAGCCCACCGTGTTCTGGCGCTGCCACTCTGTCACGGCGGCATCAACATGTGAAAGGGCGTTCGTGACGTTCCGAAGTCTTAGTGACCTTGCAGGGAATATCGGCGCCAAACAACATGATGCACTTGTTATTGGCTTGAGGAGTTTGACCAGAAGGGCAGTTCTTCACTGGGAGCGTTTCGGCCGGTGAGCAAGTTTTGTCTTGGCTGTTCCTCCGTGCTACACCGGCACGGCTTGGGGTTGGCTGAGCTACTCGCAGGATGATTGTCAAGGGCTGAGAAGTGCCACGGGGAGGCAAAAAAACGGCCGGATGGGTTGCTGGCTGATGAGTGGAGTCTTGAACTGGCCTGCATCCCACGCCATCCAAAGCATATTCCTCGCCTGACAAGCTTCGTTTCCAGAATTGGAGGGCGGCAAACCAATCAAACACCCCTCTGTCCATTGTGATCCTTGTCTGGTTGATGCCTTGTCGTTCCATCCACGCCGACAGGGTCGGATACTTTCAGACGTTGATGGAACTTTTCTGGCCGGAGCTTCGTGGCCGTGATACGATCTGTGCTGGCGGGCTGTAGATCCAGGGTGATCAAAGTTTGGGATCACAGGGTGGGGAAACTGCCAATGATCATCCTGGTCTCGGGGCAAACTCTTGTCTTCGCGGACAGGGAAGGCGAAGCAGGGTGGACTGATCTGGCAATTTCCCACAGCAAGGCATTCTAGCCCATTGCAGTAGGCTACCAGTACTCGGGTCTACTTTCACTGAAAGTAACCATCAATCTCGGAAGAAGTGATACACAGGTAACCCATCACAGAACCTTGTGTCCAGGCGACCCAATGCTGAATTGTGGAGCCATAGAGGCCTGAACTGTTTAATCTCCATGGATGCGAGTAAGGGAAATTAGTTTGGAAATCGTACCATTTTCCTTGAATGTGCTAGCTCGACATGGTATGAGTCTTGACATGGTACAAGATACTGGGAGAATTAGATAGATCAATTTTTTCGCCCGGACAAGGCCGGTGGATGTCTCGGGGATGGAAGCCCTGGAGGCCGCGGCCGTTGGTAAAGTAAAACTTTAATCTGTCTCGATCGACAAGGCAGAAAGAAAAGCCTCACAGGATTGTCTTCGGATAGGAGGATTTGCCGACTCTTTCCTTACTTGGTAGTCATCGTCCAGGAATATCTCCCCCCGACATGCAAGACTTCGAACTCTAGACCCCATCGACCAGGATTGGCGCATTGGAAATGGCCTATGGGTCCATCGGGCGTGTCGCATCCTCAGATGCTGGAGCAACAAGCATATGGGGCTGAGGCAGCAAGACCCGGGGGGGATAACCGTCTAGGATGACACTCTGGATCTGTACGCTGGTGAGATTGGCCAATGGTCTTTTTTGGATTTGAATTTTCTGATCTCCAGGGCTAATAACACGGTTGAGTCAGCAATCCCGACTCCGGGATGTGGTTATAGCTTCTCTACCGTTGCCAGGAGCTGTAGCTTTGCGCCCCCCTGTCCAAAGCTCGAACACCCGAATGTAACCAGCAATGAAGGGCATGGCATTGGATTTGCCATTGACGTACAGCCAAGAATTGTTGCACGGGAATATATTTTTTTTCTGAGATGTCAACCATTGGGGGGACAGACTCGGTAGATGGCACGTGCCCGAAACAGAGACAGATGGACTGAGACAATTGCAACGTCAAGCTGTCAGAGTTTTCCGGCTTCTAGGGTTCTGGGGCTAATCCATGTCGAGAGCATCCATAGATGGGTTCATGCATTTCCTCAAGTCAAATTATTGGCATTGGCTTCGAGGTACCTGCAGTGAGCCCTGGACGTACCGTATCGGACAATTTTTGAGCATTCGTTTCCTGTATCTATAGTTCTGTACTCCGTACCTGAGCACAGGTAGAGTTGATATGTCGAAAAGTGACATGTGGAGAGTTCACGGGTGGACCGATGGATCTGATAGTGTCTTCCGGGGGGGGATTAGCTGCATAAATTATTTGATTTCAATTGGCGCCTAATGTCGAACTAGGAATATAGCCCCTGGGCCCCCTGGGCCCTAATTCCAAGCCTAATATTCGAATGAAGTGTATGCTAGCTATATCAATTTAAGCATCAACAATAACTGCCCTGCCCTAATAGGAGGCAGAACACAAGTACACGGTACATAGTTCATCTACTAATCTAATATGTACACTCAACGTACCTGGTACATAAATCTCGTCCAGTTCACCGCCCCTGCCCGTGTCAACCCCGTCATCCGGGAAGGGCTGAGAGTCAAAAAGAAATATGTCATTGTCCACTCACTGTTGTACCCCTTGGAATTCTGAAAGTTGGTATGGTTGATCAGTACTTTATTACCCTGGTACGGGTAATCAATCCTGCACCTAGTTCGGAGTACTCCCTACCGATTCGGTACCCACACGGTCGTGATGTGCCCGTGGGGGCGAGTAGCTGCACAACATACCCGCCATAACCCTGAGGAAATCGAATCTACGGCTTGTCTACCCAATCACAAGCTTGCGGGTGCTTCTTTACTGCACCTTGCCATCTCACCCAGCCTCCTGCAGGATGGTCGATCTTCTAGCCACTAATGCAGTTCTGTCGACACGATCAGGACTGTCCACTCATGGAGACCAGGATCTTTTCAATCTATTCCAGTTCCCTGGACATTTCATTGACGGAACGGTGGGACTAGTGCCGCTCGATTTCTGGAAAAGGCTCCCGGGTACGGACCGCAATCATTGTATACCCCACTGAGCTGCTTTAGCCTCTCTAGTGGAGACTGGAGACCCCCGTCTGCAGTTAGGGCACGGTTTCGCGCCACAAGAGAAACCGCGCTTACCAGAACAATCTCTCTTTCGGAGTGGAGTGGATCTACTCCATGCTTGGGGTGCATCGTCTCGAACGAGCTATTTTTATTGCTCTCCAGGTTCGGTTCTGTCGGTGTGAACACCGCCAACATGGACAATGCAACATGCTTAATGGATCTTGTCGATCGCATGATCGTCCATTTTCTTCATGCAAGAACCGCTGCTCGTGCCTCGAGCCTCTTACGGCTCAAAGGAAACAAATATGACGGGAACTACTCCGACAGACCTTGGAAACATTACGGAATTCGGTCAGGACTTCTCCCCGATTTGGTCATTTCTCATATTTAACTCGCCCTTCTTTTTTTTTTTATCATTGGTCTGGGGTCCTCCAAGTCTGATACATCAACCGTCTCTGTCATGGGTCTGCATAGTTACATATCCCGGAGGTCGATCATCTCCTCTATCCTTTCTAGTTTCAGCTTATTTCGTTCTCCTGCAGCGACCCGTCTGTCGGGTATTCGCACTAGGACATCTGATCCCATCGGGAATTATCTGTAATAGAAAACACATACAACGTGTACGTACCGGCCTTACCCACGGTCCGTGCAGCCGCCGTCGGGTCCTTCTAGCACGCAACCGTGAACATGGGGTGTTCTGACCAATGCCATACTCCTTCAACAATCAACCTGTCTGGAGCCGACGATGATTTGATGCTACTCTCCTTGCCCATTGCGCTCGACCCGGTCAAAATTCCAAATTCGGGACTTCAAAATACAAATCATAGAGGAAAAAAGAAAAATTGTTGTTTTCTTTTTTTCCATAGAGATCATACACAGAAAATGATAACCCGGATACCTTTCGCCGATTATGGTTGGACCCCTATGCAAACTCACTGCCCCATTGGAGCCTTACCGAATACAACGTATTTCACTGTCCCTGGCAGATCCAACTCGTGGTTATGGTCGCCTCTCGGCTAGACCATCACTAGTGGGCCCTGAGCCTTACCAGGATAGACTAATAATCCTCCAACAATCCCGAGAACGGCTTTAGACAATATTATAGACCGGAAGCTTCATTGGGTAGAACGTACCAATTGCAACCTTCTGTTATTTCCGGGGATAAAGCCAATCACATACATCTGGTCTCAGCCCTGATGTCCAACTGATAGTTACAACTATCTATATCTATATCTATACATCTATACAACTAGGTAAGCGCAGATCTACTTCCTGCAACCTGTCAAAAGAGATGATTCCTCAAGATCTGCTCGGCCGTTCTTAAATACCAAGTTAGGGTTGCATAAGTGGAAGTATCCTGCTGCAATACCAAGATACTTACCTAGTTATGCCGGGGCAAGAGCTTTTTATTTGCTCGTCGTCCCCAGGCTGTCACACCAGATTACATCAGTGTCTTTTCCTTTCCCCTTCTGTGATTATTTTGTTTTTCATTTTGTTTTTGTTTTTTTGTTTTTTTTTTTTGCCCCTCCGTAGCCTGCGATTGCTATTTTGCTATTTTGCTATTATTGTGCTTTTTGGGATTTTTGGCTTTTTGCTCGCTTTGGGCTAATTCTTTTCTACAGTTCTCTTTCTCCATACCCCCCTCTCCCTTAAGATCTTTGCAAAGAACACTATAAGTTCTGGCCCGATCGATTCCAACCCTCTTCTCTTGTACTTTTGTACCTATGACTTAAGTTAATGCGAGATCGCCCAATTAGGAAGTCATGTCTATAAACCGGTGACGCACTTTGGCTCCCGGGCGATCATCTACTTCCTGTCAACATCGAAAAGGGCACCGTTTTACGCACCGTTTTACTGAGCATACTATATGTATTACTCTTCACGTTCATCCTTATAACTCAAAGGCCTTTCCTATCTTCATTTATACTTCTTCGTTCTTTCTCCCCCACTCTCCCTTCACTCCGTGTTTGCTACTTGCCTTCTCCAAACAACTTCTTGTGAGAATTGTGTTTTGGTTTATCTCCAAGACCAAGAGGAGCTGTATTGATTTTTTCCCACCTTCATAGGCTCAAAGCACCACACTCTGAGTGATCCAGACGTCAAAGGTAACAATCAAGTACTGTGAGAGAATTTGACTATGTGTTTACCTAACCCTTTGCTATTCTAGACATCAAGTTCCTGCCACCCAAGACCTCAAGGGCCAGACGGCTTTGGCGTCTCGCCCGGTGTTACATTAACCAAAAACTTCAGGGTCCTCGAGGCGCCTGGTATCAGCACGCTCAGGATGAATCCCTGTAAGCTTCTCTCTTTTTCATTCCCTGTTTATTCCGTCATGCGGTTGATTCGACATTGACAAACATTGCCTTTGTCTTTTTCTTTTCTTTTTTTTTCTCTTCTCCATATATCTTTCCTATCTCTAACCTATGAATTTCCCAGCACTTCTCTCGGAGGTATTCTCATTGAACGATCCCGTTACTTCGGAGGGTGACTATATGAACTCTCATGTGACAGGGTTTGGAACGGACGAAGACGACAACAGCCAGCGAGTCGGAGGTCTCGTCTCCATGCCTGACACCAACGGCGTGAGGTACCACGCACAGCATCCTTTGATGCAGGATTTACAGTAAGTTATTTTCTATTCTTTCAATCCGGACTTGCCCTTGCGCTCCACTCGGT